GGGTGCTGCTGGGCACGGCCAAGACTCTCTAGGCGTGCTGGCGTGCGGCTCGCACGGCACAGGCGCGAGACAGACGCGGGCTGAGGCTATACGGGCGCTGCTGGGCGTCTCTGAGGGCTTTGGGCACTCGGGCGTGCTACTGGGCACGTCCCGAGGCCGACTAGGCTGAACAGACCCGACACGAGTCGGCACTGGGCACGACACGAGGCTCTGGCGTGAGACCTCGTGCATTGGGACTGGCACGGCGCTGCCGGGCGTAGTGCATGCTGCCTGGGCACGTTGGGTGCTGTTACCACACGTGCTGGCACAAAATCGCGTTACCGCCGCGGCGCGTGCACTGGGGCTGCCATGAGTCGCGCCTATGGGGCACGGGCACGGGCAGGGACACACTTAGCCTCTGAGGCACGGGGTCTGGGCACTGTCTGGCACGGACAGAGGCAATCCTAGCCTCTGAATGGCACGGGCAGACACGGGGCCGGGCATTGCCGCGCTGCATGCGCGGCCAGTGACCATGGCCGGCCTTTGCTGGCCATCCGGCGACTTTTTCCGGTGACATGCAACACATCATCTCGATATGATGAAAAAGGCTTAAAAATGATAAGAAGAACTAGGAGACCCCGGGTCAAAATGCATGTTGTTCGGTAGGGCCTAAATGGTACGTACGAACAGTTAATCACCGAACCAACTATTTAATCTTAAATATATGATCATGGCCGAGTGTTTAGCATCACAAATAATGGGTAATGAGGTTGAAAGGGTAGCAAGAAGTTACATGCATAAGGATAAGGCTCGGGGGTCCAAAATGGCATAAATTCATGAACAATTTGACTGAACAAACGAACTCCAAACAAGCTTAAACTTATACACCATCATAGAAATAATATATGAGGAGGATTAGGCTATCAATTTTGGTCCACGCATGCATGCTACTCAAATTTCGAAATTAAGGCCATTAATTCTTAACATTCAAAACTCATGAATATTCAAGCGCATGGCTTGATATTACTACATGAAAAATCCTAAAATATCATAAATAGGCTGAGGGAAAAAAGATAGCTCGAGCTAACCTTCACCGAAATGGAAGAATTGTTGTTAGGGCTTTGCTCGGGCTGGGTCACAGCCTTTAGTGGTTTGGCTTGGGTTCGGGATGGTTTGGCTGAGCTTTGATGAACTCAAGGGACGTAGAAAAATCTAAGAAATACTTGGAAGGTTCTAAGCCTCGTGAGAATATGGCTGGAAATGGCTAGACCTCCGTGGCTCCTCCTCCCGGGCTATGGCGCGCGTGTGAAGGCTGGGTGGGCTTTTTTCTCGGTTTTCTTGCTTCCCTCTTCAATATGTGCGAGTGTTTAACTGTCCAAGAGCTGCAAAGGAGCTAAAGAATGACCCTTATATAGGCTGAGGGGCAGAGTACACAATGTGTGAAGGTGGGAGACCAAAATGGGGGACAAACTTTCTCCACACTAACTCACATGAGCATGGGACTTTGGGTGAGGGGTCTTGGCATGCTTTGCACGATTTCTGCTGAGACTTTGAGTGGAATTTTAGAGTATTATGAGCATGGGAAGTGGTCTTGTCAGGTGGTGGGAGACAAGGGAATAAAGACTAGCGTTTTGGAATAAAAGAATCAATTGCCCGTCCTCCCACTTTGCATGCTAATTGAGTTGACTTCTCTTAATCTTTGTTAGGGCCATATTAGCTCTAAGTAATCCTTATTAAGTCCTGAATAAACACAGCTCTTGGTTCTTGAAGGAAGTGGGCGGGATCTCTTGGAAATGGGCTCGGAAGGTGGGCTGTCGCTGACTCGCGCTGGGCCTGGGCGCGGCCTGCTGGGCTAGCGCGAGAGGGCCTGGGCGCGGGACGCCTGCTGGGTGCGAGGCGGGGCTGCGCGCGAGGACTGCATGGGCCGGGCACGTGCTGGTCTTGGGCTGAGGACGTGAGGCCTAGGTGAGGTCCTCAACACTTAGGAAAAATTTATGAAATGATGTGCTAGGCCTTGGACAAGGCTCGGGTGAGCCTAGGCTCGGAATGGGCGCGCATGGCCATGCTCACGGACCTCGGGCGCGGGTGGCTAGAGAATGGCTAAGGCTCGAGCAAAGGTCTAGGGCTTGAACTTTGATATATCACTACACTTGATACCAAGGCTCGGCTTTGCTCGGAACTGACTTGAAAAATGACTCGGAACAAAAATACGGTTCAAAGACAAATAGATATCACTTATCAATCCAAATTAATAGATTAATCTTGGCCGTAACTTGACATAAAAAATTTCAAAGAATAATCTAACATAATTGAGCATTTAGCATATAAAACATAACTCGAAAAATTCTGAAAATTACGGATTTCACTTATAGTCGAGGAGTGAAACCGTTCTTAATATTATTTTCGATCTGGGGCATTACACTTTAAATAATGAATTACTCAAACCTGTTGAAGTGGAAGAAATTAAGGTAGCTTTGTTCAACATGGCCCCTGAGAAAGCCCAGGGGCAGATGGTATGTCTGCTCTCTTTTTCCAAAAGTTTTGGCATATTGTGAAAGATGACGTATCCGTATGTAGTTTTTTCAGGTCTCGGCACCTTTTGAAAAACTGGAAACACATTATTATCACTTTGATCCCTAAGTGCATGTATCCTGAAGCTTTGAGTAATTACAGACCAATAAGTTTGTGTGGGGTGTTATATAAAATCTTTGCTAAACTGTTGGCTGAGAGTCTGAAATCTTGTGTGGATGTTTGTATTAGTCAAGCTCAAACTGCCTTTGTCTCGGGTACATTCTTATAGGACAATATGGTTATTGCTCATGAAGTATTTCACTTCTTGCATAGACATAGGTCATGTACTAATGTGTTTATGGTTGTTAAATTGGAAATGGAAAAAACATATGACAGAGTGGAATGGGAGTGTATAAGGAAGATTATGTGAAGAATGGGTTTTCATGGAAAGTTTGTTCAGTGGGTGCTCAACTGTATATCTTTCCCTACTTTCTTTTTCAATCTGAATGGAAGAGTGTGTGGCTATATGACATCTTCTAGGGGTATAAGGTAGGGTGATCCCCTGTCCCCATACCTATTCATTCTGGTTTCTAAAATCTTGTCTCCTTATCTGCAACATAAGATCAGTTCTATCTTATTCAGAGGGATCAAAGTATCTAGAGATGGCCGTATGCTATCCCACCTCCTGTTTGCTGATGTTGCTCTTATATTTTTTAAAGCAGATGAAGAACATGCAGGGTTACTTCTAGAAATTCCTCACAACTACCAGATGTTTACAAGTCAAAAAGTGAACCTGCACAAATCTTCTCTTTCTCTGATAAAAAATGGCTCTGAGGATCTGAAATCTAGGATTTCTGCTATCCTACAAGTAGTGGTGGTGAAGAGGTCATCGAGGTACCTTGGGTTGCCTTAGGAATTGGTGCTTCCAAACTGGGGACTTTTCAATTTGTTGTGGATTCTGTGAGAGATATGATTTGTAGCTGGAAGGATGGTTTTCTCTCAATTGCAGGTAAGGAGACTTTGGTGAAATCTGTTCTTTGTGCATTGACAGTGTTTGTCATCTCCTGCTTTGTATTACCTGTTAGTCTGTGTAAAGAAGTGTGCAGGCTTGTGGCAAATTTCTAGTGGAATAAGGTGGAAAATCAGAAGCAGAGTTTACATTGGTTATCTTAGGACAAAATGGCAGTGCCAAAGGGTGAAGGGGGCCTTGGATTTATGGACCTCAAACTGTTCAGTAAAGCTTTGGTTATGAAGCAGCTATGGAGAGTTATTGAACAGCCTGATGTGCTTATGTGCAGGGTTCTAAAGAGCAAATATTTCAAAAACTGTTCTATCTTTCAGCGGAAAAAAACTGGGGGTGCATCATGGATCTGGAACTCATGATCTTCTTATCTGTCTGATTTGCAGAAACATGTGATCATTATTATTAGAAATGGGCATAACACTAAGTTGAATGATGTCAATTGAGTGCCAGAAATGGAATGTGGGAAACCTGAACTGAGGACTGAGATAGATGGGAGTCTGTTTTGGGTGAAGGACCTTCTATTGGTAGGTGGTGTCCAATGGGATACCAACTTGATCAGAGCTCTATTCAATGTGAAAGATGCCACTAAAATATTGCAGATAAAATCTTTGAATCCTAGAGCAGCTGACCATTGGAAATGTTCTTTTCTGGTGAAAGGAAAGTTTTTTTTGTAAAAAAAGCTTACTTGAAGTTAATCTCTGAGAAGTTGTGCCCAAGACCAGTGACTGAAAGCAGTGCATTAGCAGGCAGGAATAGGAAAGCTAGAAGGAGATGTTGAGATCTGAATGTGATGGGCAAGGTGAAGAACTTTATATGGCAATGTTTCTCTAACATCCTTCCTGTGAGTTGCAGTTTACAGACAAGAGGTCTGCCTGTAGAGAAAATTTGCAGAGTTTGTGGTGAGGATGTGGAAACCCAGGAACACACTTGTTCATGTGCAGGAGAGCTAGGACTGTTTGGCAGATATCCCAAGTCCAATGGAACAGAGTGCATAAAGATCAGCTGCGTTTTAAGTAATGGTGGTGGATTAGCACCATGAAGGCCAATGAAACATCAAAAGATAGAATTCAGCTCTCCACCTACATTTTGTTTTGGTTGTGGAGAGCAAGAAATCTCTGGGTATTTGAAAGCAAATGGCAATATGAGGAATTGATCCTGAGAGCTGCTATGCGGGACTAGCTTGACTTCAATCACATCAATAGCAAGAAATGATAGATGTACTTAGAAGGTAGGTTAGGTCTCGTGTCAGTGATCTATCTAATATGTACTATAAGTTTGTAATTGATCATGTTTAGTTGTGTTTGATAGGTAAAGCTATAGTTGGGGGTGATGTGCTCCTACTATTGATGTGTGTAGCTTGTATTTGGAAGTTTGATTTTGTGTATTAGCATTGGCTAGGAAGCATTGTCGCTTTTCCTCTCAGTTACCCAGAAGTAGGGATTTCCCTCGTGTACATTGCCCTATTTGGGTCTGTTATTTTTTCTTAATGGAGTATTTATATCGTTGGAAAAAAAAATTAGTTAATTCATGATGCATATTTAGTTCATACAAAATGCATATTTAGTTAATACGAAATGCATATTTGTTATATTGAAAACTAAATATATAATAATGCATATTTAGTTAATTCATGATGCATATTTAATTCATCCATAGTGCATATTTTGTTACATATAAATTAAATATATAATGATGCATATTTAGTTCATTCATGATGCATATTTAGTTAATCCGAAATGTATATTTGTTATATTTAAATTAAATATATAATGATGCATATTTAATTCATTCATGATGCATATTGAGTTGATTGATGATGTATATTTAGTAATACGAAATGCATATTTTGTTATATTTAAATTAAATATATAATGATATATATTTTGTTCATTCATTATGCATATTTAGTTAATACGAAACGCATATTTAGTTAATACATAGTGCATATTTGTTATATTTAAATTAAATATAGAATGCTGCATAATTAGTTAATTCATGATGTATACTTAGTTCATTAGAAATGCATATTTAGTTCATCATGGTGCATATTTATTACATTTAACTTAAATATATAATGGTGCATATTTAGTTCATTAATAATACATATTTATTGTATTAAAATTAAATATATAATGATGCATATTTAGTTCATTCATAGTGCATATTTAGTTCATATGTGATAAGTATTTACTTCATACATAATGCATACTAAACCCAACGGTAAAAAAAAATAAAAAAAAATCAACACTGAAAGTCAATGGCCAACAGTCAAAGGAACTAAATTTGCATCATTAACTAAATATGAATAATCAATAAATGCATCATGAATGGACTAAATTTGCATCATTATATATTTAATTTAAATATAGCAAATATGCACTATGGAAGAACTAAAAATGAATTTAGTATGAACGAAATATGCATCATGCATTAACTAAATATGCATCATCATATATTTGATTTAAATATAATAAATATGTACTATGAATGAACTAAATATGCATCATCATATATTTAATTTAAATATAACAAATATGCACTATAGATGAACTAAATATCTATTTCGTATTAACTATATTTGCATCATCAATGAATTAAATACGTATCATGAATGAACTAAATGTGCATCATCATATATTTAATTTAAATATTATAAATATGCACTGTGGATGAACTAAATATGCATCATGAATAAACTAAATAGCATCATTTTATATTTAATTAAATATAATAAATATGCACTATGGATGAACTAAATATCTATTTTGTATTAACTATATATGCATCATCAATAAACTAAATATGTATCATGAATAATAAAAAGATCTCATCTCAGTTTGCAAACTCCTGCTGGAACAATAAAAAGAATGGCTTCAATAGTATCCACTAGAAAAGCTGGGAGCATATGTAAGCCCCAAACCAATTTTTATATAATAGCTCGACTTTATTTTCCAGAAATAATAAGTTCATAATTATGCAGTATTTAATTATTATAATCGCATAATTTATTTAGTCTTAAGTCTAAAGGATGGAGAAAATGTTCAAATTATTATTTCGGAAATGAGCTAAGTCTCGATTTATAATTTTAATCGAGTATTAGATAAGTTGGGAATTTATTTAACTCCCGAACGAGCCCAATTTCTGGGCCCATTTAAGTGGGCTATTTTATTCCAGCTAATCGGCCCAATTATAAAAATGGAGCCGTTAATTAATTCGGTCCAAGTCGAATTGGTTTTTCGAGCCAAGTCTAATATCAGAGCCCAAGTCGATTAAAGGCCCGATTCAAAGCCCAAGAGGAGTCGAAACCCTAACACATGCTCTAGTATAAATACATCACATTCCCCCCTCATTTCCATCATCTTCCACCTTATCCATTCAAGAGCAAACACCATCCTTCCATCCACCACCTTCATTTTCCGGCCATCCACTGAACTCCGACGAACTACTGTTCGGTGACCTCCACGCCGACGACCACTTCACCCCGTCCTGCCTGGGTTCACCACGTTCAAGCTCGATTCACGTCCTTCATGAAACAACCCCAACATCCCGTTCCCTGCTCGAACCAGTGCCGTGCACGCCCTCGTTCACGAACTCGCACCCGTCACCAGGCCGTTGTACCGTACAACCCGTCCACCACCGTGCGAGCTTCCGTTTAGGCCGTACGCTTTGCACCACCAGAGCACAAGCACGTCCTTGCGAGACCAAATCCGTTCCTTGTGCCGTGTGTTCGACCCCAGCAGCTAGCTAGTGCACCGTCCGTTTGCCCGTCGCGTTCCCCGTGAATGTATGCTCCCCGAAAAGCAACCCCTGCACCCGTACACTGGAGTCCCTTACGTGCAAGACCTCAGCACCGTCCAGATCCGCTCGTTCAGTACCGTACGCCCTCGATTCGCACCAGCGCACCATAGGCCCAAGCCATACGCGTCCCGATCCTCACCCGACGAGCCACGTTTAGTCCCAATCCACGCGAGCCACCAGCACCCGGCACCAGATCCGTGACCAACAGCTTAGTCCCGATTCCCTCAGCACCGAACCGACCAGATCCACATGACCCGACCCGATTTCAAGAAGCCAACCCAGTATTTCCCGAGTTTTGATTTGCGATTCATGTCGTTTCTGAGGTATATTAGCTTGATCTCCTTCTCCATGGCCTTAACTATGAATTATAATTAATTATAAAAATGCAAATTTTTTAAGTTGAGCATGCCTAGATTTAACTGGGATTTATTGAGTTAAATGGCATGAAATTTTGAATTTATTGAGGGCTGAACCGAAAAATGTTAAAACCAAGTTGATAAATCCTATTTAGATGTCTTGAGGCTTAGGTTTTAATTTTGTGAATTTGATGCCCGTTTGCTATGTTAACCGGATTATTCAATAAAGAGCCCAAATGCCCGATTTTTGTTAAATGAGTTAAAGACTTCGAATTGCTGTGATATTTTTACCAAAAATCATAAAAATGTTGATTATGTTGTAAGTAATTTTTTGTAATTTTTGGAGACCGTTCGATATGCTTAAAAATTTGGGACTTTAGCCTCTTTTAGAGATAATTCTAGAAATTAATCCGGTTGGGACTTAGCTGCAGTTGTTTGGCCTAAAATTACTAGAAATTATGTTTAACTTAGGGTTAAAGTTTCGGCTTAAAATGAGTTAGTTGGCCGGTTGAGTTGAGAACCCTAGTTCGGCCTTTTTCGGACAGTCCGAATGAATGGTAGATACGAGTAGAAAAGCTGTGTGTCGGCAAAGCCGTGTCCGTGCTTATGTACCCGAACCACGGTTAAACCGAGTTGCACCCAATCAGACGAGTGACCAATCAATTCCGATCGAGCCGTCGGTCCAGTTCAGCTGAATCAGTCTGGACGATTCGGGAGTTTCAGTTTGGAACATCGGTTTGAGCGTGAGCCGAGATTCAGTATATTTCCGAACCCAGTCAAATCAGATAGTGAGTTCAGATAAGATCAAATAGCTAGTTTAGATAAACCAAATAAGTCGGTTCACATAAACCAGATAAGTAAGTTTAAATAGATCAGATAAGTCAGAGAAGTTAGATCAGAAAAAATCAGATAAGCAGTCCATACTTAGACAATTTCAGAGAACTCTAGAAATGCCTCAAGACACTAATTTCCCACATTAGCTCATAAATCCCCTAAATCGAGATTAAATGATTTTAAAATCGAGAGAGCGAACATAGTAAGATCAGATAATAATAAGATTCAAGTTTTCAAATTTGAGCATTGTACTTAGTATATTTTGCTCAAACATCATGTAGTTTAAAGAGAGTCGAGCCTCCGACATCTACAATCATCCAGTCGCACTTGCCTAGCAGTACCAGCTTATCAGGTGGGGGTCTCGTACTGAGCATTACATTGTCACTAATATCCGTACCATGTCCGAGGTATGTATGAAAAAGTATTATTTCCCAGAAGTGGAGGCTTAACAACCTTATAACCCACTTGTGGTATCGCCCAGGCTTGGAGGCTTAACGACCTTAATGCTCCGCCTGTGGTCCTGATGGAGGCCTTACCGGGCCTTAATGATCTAATCGGGGTGTGCACATGACTTTAGATGCTTATAGCCTAGGGGGGTGTAAGTCTGGGGTTTTTATAGCCATCAGTTCAGTTCCGTTCTTATATGCTTAAGTCAAGATATTGTTATTATTGATGATGTTTTATTCAGTACTGATTTCTGTGGAGCATAGAGGTTTTGCTCACGCCTCCACTGACTATCTTTTTAGGTGACGGAGTCCAGCGTGGAGCGTGAGCACTCGTGGTGGATGTGGTCATGAGCAGTTGCTAGTTTTGTGTCGCATGTCATGTCATTTATTTGAACATGTATTATTTATCATGCCCATACTTATTATGTTTTCGGTTCTGCATATTCAGACCCAGTATGTATTATGAAACTTTAGACAGTATACATGTATAATGCCTTTATCTCCATAGTACCTTTGTTAAATGGATTTGATTAGGTTGCATGTATTTATTATGTCTGCATGAGAAGAGATAAGAAAAGCAATAAAGTAGAGTTTAGTAGCATCCC